CTGCTGAACAGGGTGGGGTGCATGGGAAGGGTTGTACCACATCAGCTGGGGATTTGACAGCTCTGGGAAGGGTCCTTCTGCTTATTAGTTGGCTGAGGCAAGAGCAATCCCAGAAGTGCCACTTTTGGCAGAGACCAGGGATCAAGGGGAAGCTGCACAGCTGGCGTAGAGGAGCTTGCAGACAGCGTTCTGCATCTAGAGGTTTCTGGCTGGGACTGCTTCCTCACGGCTGGGCTGCACGCACTCCTCAGCCCAGTCCCTATCAGTGCAGCCGTGATGTGATCCCTGGGAATGAAGGGGTAGCTTCTCAGGGGTTCATATGCTCCTTGGCAGAAAGGCCTTATGGTTTCAGAGGGAGTTTGAGCAGCATCAGAAAATCAGGGTTTGACTTTCTCAGCTTTGACACAAATACACCATTTCTCTGATGCTCACAGTGGTTTATTCACTCTCTCCTCACCAACATTGCTTTACAGCTCTTGACTGTTCCCAAATACAGTCCTAGGAGAGCTGCATGTGCAGTACCTCTTTTCCCTGTCATTTTTACTAGGAAACAGTCTTCCCCCTGCTTCATGAAATAATTAAACGAACTTGATGCAGCTTCTCCTCCAGCTGTGCATGGTTAACTTGCATCCCAAAAGCAAGCATCGTGCCAAATGTACTTTGACAGGGGCATCATGGTATAAAAGTGGGTCAGTCCAGTGCTGACACCCTGAAGCTTCCTTTGCTTTAAAGCACTTGTGCTTTAAGCTCCTACTGAGTTACAGACTTAAAATTGTGGGTCTGGCATGAAGCCACCAAGCATGAAGCACTTTTCTCTTCTACAAGGTTTACAGACGCCATGGCTGGATGTTTGGGATGGAGAAAGGGCAGATTCTAACTCCTTGGGCTCTGTTAGTGAGATACAGTCAGCTCAGGAGAATAAATTTGAATGCCAAGCTTCAGAGTGTATTCCAAATCTGCAGCAAGACAGTTATACATGCAAGCTGTTAAAAGCCAGAGTCCTGAGTTGTCAGAGCTCCTCCAGACCCTGTCTGTCCTCACTACAAAATCCTGTGCTATCCAAAAAGAAGAACAAGGCATCTGCAGTACGGGACCTTTGTGAGCTCTCCTCTTCCTTTGACAAAGGGACCCTTCTACATATTCGTTGAACATCTCTGATCTGAAATGAGCCAAAAGGCACCCATGCAACAGTACATGCCCTTTCACTAAGTGGTACCTCCTCTGTAAGCCTGCGGAAATCCCATTTCCTAGTGTACGTGATGCATCAGGACTGATCATCGTGAGTACACAGACTCACAGCCCATCCAATTCAATACTGTTGCAAGAGGCAACAGTAACTCCCAGCCCTTTGCTGCTCTCTTGGCTATGCAACGTGCAGGGACTGCAACCTGAAAGATGTTCCCTTCATGGACCCCGCCTTTGGGCAGCGTCAAGTAAGCCAAACACAGGAGACCATTAATCAGTGCCTTGAGAAAGAGGTTGCCATCAGCACACAAAAAGACAAGAGGAAGCGGCATCTTACCATGTGATAGTTAATCATTTCCTGCAGACTGTCTCCAAATTTGTTGAGGCACTCCTGCAAAAAAAGGTAAAGAGAACTGGCAGTGAATAGAAGCAGCTGCCCTTCATTCCCAGGGGTTCAACGGCTGAGAGACTCTCATTAAGCCACTGAAGAGCCACTCTGTCATTTGGCAAAAAGGTGTTTCAAAAGTGTCTGACGCTGAAGTCACAGGCTCCCTGTCCTTTCCAGTGTAGTGCTGAAATCAACACGTCAGTTGTCGTTTGTGCAGGCTGGCTACCTGCGTTTCCTAAATAGCTGCTGCTTACTGACCTAGATTCCAACAACCTTGCCAGCACTGTGGTTTCTTAAAAGTCCAGTTCTCCCTGCAAACAATGAATCTCACTCTGATCTTTCAGCACTGCATTATCAGATGGTCTCTACATTCCCCCAAAAATAAAATCTCACACTAAATGGCTACTTAAACAGTATAAGGGTCTTGGACATACGGTCCATACACATTATCAGGAAGCTCAACGCTCCCCAGCTCTCACTGCATCCCATGCTCCATCCCACAGGATGACTTACCGAAATCATTTCATCCTTCTTGCACTGCTGCGACAAGTCCCGGACTCCGCTGACAAAGTGCTTGTTCGTGGTGATGTAGGCTTTGCCTGCTTCAATCATCCCACTGCATAGCTTTACCAGCTGCAGAAGGAGAGAGGTGTGAGCAGACAGGCAGCAGATCACATCAAACTGAATTGCAACCAGGCTGGTTTTAATCTGCACCAACACCACAGCCCAAGCCCCTTAGAACAGGACGCCATTCACGTTCCTGGTGTGGCTACGCTAGCAACCCTTACTGCACATGGCAGAAACAGGGATGCAAATTGCACTTCGCAGGGTACATCATGCTGTCAACATTTCGCTTGTCACTTAAGAGGAACAGTTCCAGGCTATCCCCTGAGGACAGATGAATCAGGGCAGCCCATTTTCTCCAGTGCCTTTCTACTGTTTATTCTACCCTGAGGCATCAGGACTGCAATGAAAGGAACCTGATCACACAGACTGACTGGGGAGAGGCAAGATTCCTTGGTGCCGGGTGGCAGTGATAAGCTGTCTAGAATCTCCCTGCTGGGAATATGCTGCTCTTTGGGATTGTCAGTCTCTGAGCCCAGCTGGCTGTTCTGCATCCTTGTGGAGACTTGTCTTGCTGTTACCTTGAAATGAAGGGGAGCCAGCATTCAGCAGCCTGATGTTTTTGTATTATGTTTTCCTTAAACCAATGGACCAGGACTGCTCAAGCCATGTCTGCTGTGCGCAGCTAGTGAAAATCTATGTTCCCTCACACATGGTTTAAATCATCAAGATTGTAGATAACTATGAATCAATTCCCACAATTCTGCAGCCCAAGGAAACTTTGCTGGTGCACTGTGAGGGATTACAGCACATCTCTCTGGACTGCCTGTGACTTAGTACAGTCTTTCTGATGGACCTGGAAGGAGCTTTGTTCGGAGAAACGTTAACAACTTTAAGCAAGCTGCACTTGCTCCGATTCTCATCACCAGCCTTGTTATAGTGAAGTTACCTGGAACTTGCAGCAAAATGGGGTGGCTTCCTCACTTGGAATTAGTTTGCTGCAGCACAGGTATACATCTCCAGACAGCCTTTATTAACTTTTGATAATTCCAAAGCTGCAGGGAACATTCCCAGGCTTCCTAGCCACAGCAAACTGCCTTAGCATGCCTGGAACTGGCTGTAAAGACTGGAGCATTAGCTTAGCCAGAATTCCTGGCCGTTAGCCTATCTCCTTGCAGCCAAAGCTCCTTGTAAAAGGTTACAGTAAACAACTTAAGATAAATCCATAAACCAAAGGCCCAAGAGATTTGGAACAGTAACGGCTGGCCACTGAGCACAATTTTTTAATTGTTTGTTTGTTCGGTTTTGTTTGTTGTTTTTTTTAAATCATCACTGTTCCAGGCTTTTTAACTAGGTAAAAACTTTAGCTGCCGATAATGAACAACACTTGGAACTGAAGTTTTCCATTCTCAAAATCCAGGAGCCGTTTAGGGATATTAATCTTACTCATGAAAAATGGCTTTAGAAATCTATCCCTGTCAACCAGCCTCACCGACAGGCTGGGAATGAGTGGCTCTCAAGTTTGGCTTGACGCCAAAGCCCCACTGTGTGCTGTTCTGGGGCTTGGTGCTTGTTCTATTTATGCAGCCGCAAGGCTTTAGGGTCTAATCTATATGCATACATTGCAGAACAAGCTTGCTTGCCTCTGCCTGCAGTTCCGTAAAAATATATGAGAGTATATCTGAATGTATAAATATATATATAGTCACACATGGTATATCTGTGTGTACATAGTATATACAGTTTTCACTCTTTCACACTCACATCCTCTCCTGTCCACGCAATTTGAGAGAACAGCATTGGATGCTGGCAGACTTGTACTATCCCATCCAAGCCCAGAGAAGAAAAGCAAACAGATGCAGTTCCTGTCACATCTGGAGCCCAGACGTACACTAGGGCTTTGGACAGATCCTCTGGAAAGGAAATCCAGCCTGTTCTGCAACGTGGCGGTTTCTAGCATACCTCTGTGCAAACACTTGTGGCCAAGGCTGTGTTACTGGTAGCTGAAGGCCATTCAGCACAAGCACACTCCCAAGGGGAGCAATGATGGCTTTGCAGATGGAGCACAGGACAGAATGACGGAAATCTCTTTGAAACAGCCCAAATCTCTGGTGTTCCCTTGGATGAATCATTTACACTGCCCTTTACCTCCATTTTAAACAGATGGTAAAAGGCTAATCGTTTATAAAGTAAGTGCTCACGGGCAAGGTAAAAGGCAGAGAAGCAGAGTCAGTCCTTGCCAGCTAGCTGCTCTAAAAGAACTAGTCATGCCAGCTATTTGGGTACCACTGAACAACATTTACACCAAGCCCTGGAAAGGCTACCCTGGGCATCCACCCAGCTGGTACACAGGAGAGGAGCTGGGCCCTCCAAGGCTGATTTATTAGGAATGGGGATGATTGAATCTTGTCCAAAGTTACCCTCAGAGAAATTAATTTGAACTTCAGTGGCTCTCCAGATGCAAACTCCAGCCTCACTTGCCCTGGACCCAGACCTGATAAGCCTGTTGCTGGCAGTGACGGAGCCAGCACTTTGCATGCCTGGTCATCCCCGCAGCAGACAGGGGAAATGATGCATGCAAACAGAGCGACACCTCCGCCCACTTCGCACTACCAGAATAGCATCCCATAACTGCTGCCAGGGGAAGACCAAAATTGCACGAGACTGTTGTTTTAATGCGCTCCCTCACCCAAAGGAGCTCAAATCAATTTGCAACAAAACACTGAACAAGAAAAAGCTAAGAGCCCTGAACAGCTCTTGTACTTCCAGCCCGCCCTCCTCGCTCCGGAGTGTTCCTCGCACACCACAGCGTCTCACTACAGGGGACACTGCCAGCAGCAGTGCTAGAATCAGAGCAAGTTTTGCCCCATGCTTTGTCTTTAGAGCCTTACCCTCTTACACAGAGAAAAACAGATAACCTAAATCCCTCTGCAGCTTTCACCAGTGAGACAAGTTAGCTTGTGCAGATAACCATTTCAAGCAGCTTGAGTAGTAAATAGGTTTTACAGGACACAGCTTTGCCTAGGGCTTGTGACTTCAACGAAGCCCATTTCTCCATCAGACACAGGAGTTTTATCCCTTGCTAGCTCTGGGAAATCTTGCAGATAAAAAGCCAACAGCTCTTCTGGCTCCTCTCCTTCATTTCTCCCTGTTCTCATTTAGAAACAACTTGGCTGATGTCTCAGATGTCAGGAAGAGTGCGGGTGGAAAAGCCACCTTCCATCGTAAAGCCTCTGACTTAGATCCAAACTACCAATGGGATGTAAAGAATCACCAGCATAAATGCAAAATGGCCAAACTGGTCCCTGAGAGGATATTCCCTGTGTCAGGTTACAGCTGGGGCACATAGCCTGGCTGAACATCAGACAGCGACCACCATCACCAGTCTGAATCCGGCTCCTTGTTTACCTGCAAGTGCCTCCTTAAATCCCTGAGCTGACACAGTGGTGCCTCTACTGTGTGGACATGTAACGGCTCCTGCCCTACACAGGTTGGTATCACAAGCAAGATGGTGGAGAGGGGAAACAGAGAGCGCCGAAATAACTTGCCACAGCAGGAGAAGCAGTGTCAGTCCCCTGAGATCCAGGACCAGAATAAGAAGGCCAGCATTCAGCATTAGGAGCCCAAGTCTGGACCTCTTGTCCTAACTCCTTTGGCAGTCACAAAGGAGCCTTGACAGGTACCTGTCAGTAGAGGGAGACGTGGTCCTGTTGACAAGCCCAGTGTATTATACATCAGTTTCCTGACAGCCTGAGATGGGCTCACTTGTTAGAGGAGACTGGTGTGGCCATATTCCCAGGCAGGAACTCATCAGTCCCTCTTCAAACCAATGCGCTAAGCTGCCCCATCTTACCTTGTCAAGCTTTGCCTCTATCTCCACCACATCTGTTTCCACTTCATCAATGGTTGCCCTGCAATGACAACAGCAAAAAGAAATAATTAATTGATTGCTTATGATGATTGGGAAAGAAGCCAGAGAGTCCCAGATGAGTAAGGATCAAAGGGACTATGGTATGTGTGCTGGTGGTGGACAGGAGGAGGGATTCACACTTCCCACTTTGGAGTTTCCTGCTGCTACATAAGCTCGGGACTGACTGAGTCAGGAGAAGGATCACACCTCATCAGGAATGAATTCCACAGGGCTTGGAAAAGAGACGGAGATTATGCTATTTTCTGTCAGTGTCATGGAGAAATTCAGGTGTGCTCTGGTAGTCGTACACAGCAAACTCATTTAGTGGCCTTGTTCTGATTCTGCAGGCAATATTGTTAATTGGCAGTAATGCTAAGTGACACAGAAATAACCACTGTTACACCTTACCCATCCATTCACATCAGGCACAAATTGCTTGCTTCAGCACCACCAAAACCCATTTTCTAGGCTCTAACTGTGCCTGAAGTGCAGCCATATGGCGAATTATGTCCTTTGAACCTTAGGAACCACCACTCAAGCAGAAACACATTTTGGCCCTTTTGTCGCTGAACACCGTAAGTCTCTTTCAAACATGTGGGGCTTTGCTTGCATACGGAGAAATCTGCTCCGTGATTATCGGATCTGTTTTCTTTCCACATCACTGGACAGATGTGACAGTAAGAGGCTAGCAGAATCCAGCTGCAAAGGTCACCAGGCCTCCCTCACAAAGCGAAATATTAACATGACATCAGCCATTTGCAAGAGGCATTCCCAGACTGAGGCATGTGGTATGAAATGACTTTTTTGAGGCGAGAGTCCATCGGTAAGCACTGTAAACCTGCGAGCGTTCCCTTGCAGAGCTGCTCACTGCTACATGATGTCTATACTTGGACAGTTGTTTCTTTAACCACACACCTGGAAATGTGGTAAGCCTCACACCACCCTTATGCACCAAGGATATGCAATCCAAATTTTACTGCAAGGAGCTTCTTAAGTTTGTGGTCTTGTAATTTAAAAGGTTGATTCCCGAAATATTACACCCGGGCTTTAAAAAATCCAGCACTGAACATGTGCCAGCTGAAAGGACACTAGGGGAGAGATGTGACTTAGAGCCACATGGATCAACACTGCTACCTCAGCAAAAGGACAGGACACCCACAAAGCAAAGGGAACAGCAAAAGTCCTGAAGAAACCATTAGAGTATGTAGTAACTCTGTGCCTCTGAGGCTCTTGGTGTCTTCAGTGAATTAGTGAATGATGAAGACAGTGACTGTCTTCACTAAGGGACATGCTTCTAAGAGAAGGAAGGATAAATTTAAGAAAGCCCAAAAGGTCACAATGCTGGGGTCTAAATCTAAATTTCTGCCAAGCTGAGGAAGGGCTCAGGCCAACAGCATGGTACTTATATGTACCTTACAAAGATTACACATAACCAAAGTAGCACAGCACACTCAGTAACATCTATTCTAAGCATTCTTCAATGGGAAATATGTATAATACCTTACACAGGTGTGTGCAGTCCCCATCTGTAAGCTATGAGACAGCCAACATTTGCTACAGTCCTGTGTAATCCAGATGGAGCAAAGAGGAGAGAGTCCGTCCTCACACAGTATTGGAGTAAAACAGAAGACCAACCGTTATCAGGTCTGTCCCTAGCATGCAGCAGATGTTCAGCAGCTTCAGACAAACACTGCAGGAGAGAGCAGCTTTTCTACCCATGCACACCCTCCAAAGCCTCTGTGGGCTGTGAGCAGCCAGCTGACCGGGACATCCTGCGTGGCACGCTCTTTCATTAATGACAACAAAGCCAGGTGATGTCATATGACTGTGGGAACTCCCCTCGCTGCACGCTATGCCTGGCCTTTCCACATATCTGTACTTCAAGAAGGTGGCGCATAACTGGTAACAAGGTGGAGCAGAACAAAGCCCCTTCTGACACCATTGAGTCCCAAGAAGCTGGAGTTGGTAGGAGAGCTAGGAGACATTGACACACCACCCTGCAAACCGGAGGGCTGGAAAGGCTAAATACTACATTGGGCGTCACATGAAGAATCGGTGACACAGATTAGCACCCTTCCCCAGCAGACCCTCAGTCTTGTCTGTTAACTTTGCTGGAGGCAATGGAAATCACCTACATTTTTCCTGTTGGGCCACCTGATCACTTTGTCCTTGACAATGTTCAATAAAGCAGCTTTTACACCTCAGTTCAGATTAAGATTTGCATTGAGAATTAAGACTCCTCTCTCTAGTGTCTTTTTAAAGAGAATTCCCCCTAAGGAGTTGGTTTTCCAAGTCCTAGGCAGTTTGGAAATCTCCAGTCCCTTTTGTCTGCCTCTTCCCAGTAGCATGTGAGGAAACACTTCCTTTGCAAAAGGTGCACTCAGGAGTACAAGGTCTCTGGGGCAGGGATTATCTCTTCTCAGGACTGTGCATCACTTAGCACAGCAGTACCCTATGCATCCTGGGGCCTCTGCTAAAACATCAGTATAAAAAGGTCAATCCTTTGCTCGTGACTTGCTGACTTGTGAGAGGAAGGTCTTTTCTGCTGCCTTGAGACTTCAGATGTTTTTACTGACATCCACACAGATGCTCACAGACCAGGAGCACTGGATGCCTCAGCCATTTGACATATCCTCCTAGTAGTGGCACTTAACCCTCAAAAAATGTTTGCAAGAAACTCTTAATTGCCTGGAGGTGCTCACTGGGAGTTCCCAGACACACAACCTGATGCATTGCTGGTTGTGGTCACCCGTTACCTATGTGCTACAAGAGGGCTGAATCCCCTGGTTGCTCATGTGCTGAGGGGTGCTGCCTCAGCCCCGGGCAAAGCTGGCTCAGCACAGAAGCCTCCGTGCGCTGGCCCCATCCCCACCTCGCAGATGCTGTCCAGTATCGCTGGTTGGGGACCCAGTTCTGAACAGCCCGTTGCTGCTTCAAGGGAGTTAAATGAAGCCCTGAACCTGAGTGGCCGCAAAGACCATGGGTCTAATAACCGTTCTGTTCAATCTAAATTGGCTGCATATTCAAGAACTGTGATACAACAGCTGTAACTCTCCTTCAGAGACTGCTGTGCTCCCCTTCCACTGCTCTCTTGTTCCCAGATGGTATTACTTACAAGCAGAGGAGTGTCTCCTCCATCAATGTCCCTTTCCATTAAAAATTTCTTCTAGCCTGTGGTTTGACCACGCTGCTCCCCGCCAGGGAGGGCAGAAGGGGGATACTGGTCATTTACAGGCCACTTGTCACTCCACTGCTGCCCTTTCCCCATCTGGTTTCTTTTAACAAGTGAGTCACAAGGAGAAAAAGGCATAGGTCTGCTGTTCCTAAATGAGCTGCGATGTTCTTCAGCTCTGCGAGCAGTGAGAAGCACCGAAACCCTGCCAATGCTGTGTGAGGGAAGGACGTGTCTCTCCTCCCTTCATCCAAGAGCTCTTGATGTCACCTCAGCAAACAATACTCCCTACATTTTAACATAAGCCGAACATCAAATCCAAAGGAAACAGGTGAGGTTATTAATCACCATTATAGACCGTAGAAGACAGCCTGGAATCTGTTTTCATTCAAAAATACCAGATGCAAGAAAATACAACCACTGCCTACAGGTGGCTCCTCTACTTCTTGCCATGCAAGGAGAAATACGTACTTAGAAAAAGTCTGCTACCTGCTGAGGACTTGAAACGATGCGTATTTGTTACACCCTCCCTCGCCCCACACATCACCTCTCTCTTCCTAGGCCCTTGATAACCAGACAGCCCTTTCCCTGCCATGATGCCCAGTGTAAAAGATGGCAAGGCCAGAACTTCAGACACAGATTTCACAGACACCCTCCATCCAGAGCCACCCTGGGCAAGCAAAACAGGAGCGCAGCCGAGCACTCTGCTTTTGAACGCAGCAAGCCCTGGGCTCTCTGAAGTTGCAGTAATATAGCTGCTCAGGAGCTATATGGCAGCTATATGGCTGCTCAGGAGTGTACTTGATCCCTGGCCTTCTCCTGTATCTCTAAGGAAGCTGGCAAGAAACCAGACAGAGCAGGCAAGACAGCAAGAAACTATGCATGTTCAAAATGGCCTTTTTCATCAGCAGTTCCTCAGAACTGCAGATAGCTAGAGACTAAATCTGCACCCACCATGGTGGGAGCAAGTCTGTAGGTCGTATTTGTGTAGGAATTCACTGAAACAGCTCCCCAGCAAGGAACAGTTTTGTGCAGAGTCCCAGGGCCTGGCTTTGCTGCAGTTGCAGGGCTCTCAGTTTCCCTCATGCCAAGGGAGGTAACTGGTCGCTGCAGGTTTACAAGCAAGTATGATTTTTTGTGATAACAGCAGAAACACCAAATATAGTGCATGTTTCTTTTTTTGCACTTTTGTTTTTTAAGAACAAGCTCTGTCTTGGGATGACACTGTAATGCCAGCCTTTGCTTTCTACAAATACCTCTCTGTCCTGCCACAGGCACTCAGAAAAGAAGGAAATGCAATAAGGACATTACGGAAAATTACTAATACAGATCCATGTCCAGCCCACAGCATTGCCACCACTGTCTTTCCAAGCTCTGTCCTGACTCAAGGACTCCTATAATGAGAAGCTGCAATGCTACTGATAGATGGTGGCTTAGGTCCTACTGGCCAAGCACCTACTAGAGAAAGATCCATTGCGCTTCCCATTTTTCTGTCTGCTCGCTCAAGCCATACAAGCAAAAGGGATGCTGCAAACTCTAACAGAAGGGTCAGACAACAGATTGATGCCATTAGAGAATGAGGACCTCTGCTTCAGCCCAGCAGAAATGCCATACTCTCTTCCCTTACTGTGCTGCAGCACTCACACGACCTGGCATCCCTCTTTTTCTTCCCAATTGCTCTGGGTACAACCAGTACCCATGCCGCTGGGCAGCCAGGGACTTGCCCAAAGAAGAATTAAAAAAACAGATCTTACCGTGAAGCACCTTTGACAGTTCAGAAAAAGTTATTTTAGTAGGTGTTTTTTATAGTGGTCTCTTCATTGGCT